GGGGACTCACATGGTGAGCATGTGGGTACACACGTGTGTGCCTCAGATTAATAATTTCTAACTGTCTTATGTACCAGGCAGTGTACTAAACTGTGCTGGATTTCATTTATTTTGGACAATTTTGTGAGGTTAGTACTATAAAACTGCCAGATGGAGAGGGCACAGCAAAGGGTTTAATCACCTACAATTACTGCGCTGTTTGGTAAAGTACATCAAATGTTTGAGATCACTTTATGTACCTGGCTTAGTGTTAAAGTTAACGTAACTTAATCAAACTTAGTTTAAGTGCCGATAAATATTTCTGAATTTTTCTGTTCAGCTTGTTTCTTCAATGATAACACTGTCAGTTCTGCCTTTAACCCCAAAGGGGATCCATGTGGTCCTTCAGGCAGAGGAGCAATCTGGCTCCTGGCTCTCTAGGTGTTTTCTATTTGGGTTTCAATCTATATGTTGTATTTTGAGACAGAGTGTCCCTGTGTAGCTCTTGCTACACAGACCAGGCTGTCTGAGACCACGCTGGTTGATTTTGTTGAGTGACAAACTACATCAGTCATTCTTACCATTGGGGACAAGTTCTTTGCCTTTTCTGGGACCCCATTTCTCCATGGGAATTAACCTGGCAGGGATACTTGAAGGCCAGTGTCCCTAAGGTCTAACTCACAATTGGTTGGGGAGGTGGGAATTGTACTTTTCACAGCTGCCCCACTCTCGACCTAGACCTGGCAGTAGTCTAGAAATGCCAAGTAACCGACAATTACAGAGGAGCCCAATGTGGCTCTTATATCCGGTAACACACACACTACCTACCAACCGAGAGCCAGGCAGGTATGAGCACAATGCACCACCCAAGCAAAGCCCAAAGGACTGGAGGGCACACACTAGTCTGCAGAACCCATGTGCTCATCATGGGTGCCTTGCTACCTACATACACCACCCCAAGCCTGCACAGGAGACGCCCCAGTCTCCTACCAAGTTCCTCAGGTCACACACAGGCAAGCCCAGACCTTGTGAGCACAAAGCCACATGTCCAGGTAGACCAAACCTGAGTGAAACCTTTTTTCCTTCTCAGGAGCTGGGGACATGGCTCGCCCACACGGTAGCCTCAGGGGGAATGTTGATCTGGTAGCACAGCCAGGCCAGCGTGAGGGGGCTGAGTTCAGACCCAGAGCAGGTGGCCCTGCAGCTGTACACAGCCTAACCCTGCCAATTTCATCACCCACTTGGACAAGCTGAGAGCCCTAAGGCAGCCTGCTGGCATCCAGAAAAAGGTGGCTCAGCGGGGAAGGGGGGCCACACAAGTCCTGCTTCAGGCAAGATCTGACCCTATGCAGGCTCCTTTGCCTAAGGTCTCATCACACAACACAGACACACACCCCTGCCCTTGGCAAGGAATCGAATGGTCCAGTGACCTGTTTTTCCAACTTGAATGGCATGAATATTCCCCAGCCCAGAGCAGGCCAACCCAGCAGGTCCATCTGCATTTTAACAACCTCCTCCCCCTGGGTGATCCAGATGGCCCAGCCACCACTTTGAGAGAAGCCCTACTAGAGGTCTAGAGGATTTAATTTTATGACACCAGGGAACAGGGAAATGGCCAGGGATGAAGGAAAAGAATAGACATTAAAGACACCGGAAACACTCATTCAGGTCGGAAAGAATGACAGTCCAGATGTGCCCCTCCAATTCCTAGCTTCTCAACACCAGCTGTGAAAATGGTCAGAGGTCACTCCTGCCCACAGACCCCTCCCCCATCCAAGAAGTCACTACAACGTATATAAAGTATTTGTTTAATAACAACAAAAAACCCACCCCCATAAAACTATTGTAAAACAATATTCTTAGCCAGTGATCATTGTAATATACAATACGAAACATTTCCTCAGAAATCTGAGAAGCACGAAATGTGACCATTTAAAAAAAATGTCTGCTTTTCGAAAAAATAGAAACATACGGGGTTGGTTAACTACCCCCTCCCCAAGTCTCTGGGGGGCTGAAAGGTGGAGAGGGCGAGCCTCTGCTGGTCAAGCCTCTGAGCCCCGTGACCAGATCCAAGGTGGCCGCGACAAGAGTCTTTCCCCGGGCTCTCCCGGGGAACCGCGAGCACTTTATTCCTCTTGCCTCCTGAAGGGCTGGAGTCCATCTGGTCCTCAGTGCGCCGCTTCAGCGACACAAGATGCGATCGTCGGCTGGAACGCATGCTGCCTGTGAACACCAGAGCGAGATAAGGAATGAGACAGGATGGAAAGGCAAGAAGGGGAGAGGCGTTCCCACTTCTGCACTCTTAAGGGCCACGGTGAAGAAGCCAGTTTTTTTTCTCCCCCAATTAGGCGTCCCTAAATAGCCATGCGCCCGAAAAGTAAGGCAGACATACTGCTAACCCCTCCCCATGGCCTCAGTTTCCCTATGCACAGGAGAATAATGTAATGTTTCGACTCGGACCTCACCTCGGCCGCCAAGGCACTGATCTCGCCATTCAGGGTGCTGAGCGGAGCCCGAACCGGCAGCCCCCGGCCTCCAGCTGTCCCGACTTCGGATTCCGAGTTCAGCTCCAGCTGCAGGTCCCTGATGTAGTCGATAACGTGCTGCAGGATCTCCACCTTGCTCACTTTGCGGTTCTGAGGCAAGGTGGGCACCAGTTCCTTGAGGCGGGAGTAGCAGCCGTTCATGTCGTAGAGCAGGACGTTCACCTGCTGCTCGTCCAGCAGGGCGGGAAGGCGCGTCCCGGCGCAGCGCGAGATGGCTACGCTCTGCTCGGACAGGCCAAGCACAACCTCGCCCGCGCCGCCCGCCGTCCTGCCCGCCTTCAGCGAGCAGCTGGGGCCCGCGGTGGCCGCGGTGCTACCACTGGCGACCTTCATTATCTTGAGGACAGGCGGAGAGTCGCGGAGGAGCCTACGAAGGGGGCGTAGGTGGAGAGCGCGCAGAAGTTGCCGGAAGGTTGTACAATGAGAGGGCTCGCGCTGGAGCCAGTCTTTTATAAGGGCGGACCCAGGGCGGGTTCAGGACGTTCAAAAGCAACCAATGGTTTGTCTGGAGGCGTGGTCTAGCGCGCCCTCGGGTCCCAGCTCGGCGCACCCTTAGGCTTATGGAAAGGTGGTTGGTGGGCTTAAGAACAGAAAGGATGGGAGGCCCTGGGCAGAACGGCTAAGCCAATTTTGCAGATAACAAAAAGACCCCAGGAATCTCGTGGTCTTTTTCTCGCTTCTCCAGGTCCATTTTGCAGATGAGATAAACAAACGGAGAAATGGCTGGCTCTGGGGAGGTCAGTAGCTAAGGACTAGCCCAGGGTTTCCAGATGCAATCGGAAGATTGGATTATGATCTCCATTTATCAAAGTTGAATTTTATTTTTGTATTTATTTACCTATGAGGGTTTTGTTTGTTTGGTTGGTTTTGTTCGTCTTGAAACTTAATCTCAGGTAACCCAGGCTGGACTCAGAATTTGCTATGATGCTCATTGCTCCACCTCCCAGGCTGAGATTACAGGTGTGCCCCGCCACATCATATTAAGAGCCCTAGCTTAGTCTGATCTCCGGGGCTGATCTCAATTTCCAGAAAATGAACTGTAAAATCCCTAGGACCAGGACCTAAGTCCACTGGGAACGATACCAGGAACATCTTTAAAGTGGAGGACAGAGTCAGACCTGTACTAGATAGAAGGGTCGCTGTGGAGTGAGACTACAGCCCCCAATTCTACCCTGGATTTGCAGCCTCTTGCAGAAAGGTTCCAAATCTGCAGCAGCTGGTGATTTTTAAAATTTTTTCTCTCTTTTTGCTAGTTTTTTTTTTTTCTTTTTTTTTCTTGAAGCCCTCGGAGCAAGCTCTCCCTCCCACAGAGCAGCAGCTGCGGAGATGGCCCCCTCCCTTTCCTTTCCCGGGCTGGTCTGTGTCAGCGTCTGAACAAGCAGCTCAGACCGTTAGACGCCAGGCCCGTGACGTCACCCATTCATAAAACCCGGACGGGCTGTCAAGCTGGCGCCGCGCGGGCGGTCGTCATGGAGACGGCAAACTGGGCTGGAGCATTCTCCGCTTCTTCCCCCTCCCATGAGCCTGTCACCTGCAGACCTTGGGCGGGAGGCCTGGGAATGCGTTCCTTGTGGGCGCGGTCGCTGACCAAGGGTCAACTTACCTCCCCGCCCCACACCTGCTGAGTCTCCTCCACCCAGCCCCACAGCTCTGGTGGTTTTCTCACACCCTTCCACCCCAAACCCCTCTCGACCGAGGCCCCTCCCCAGATGAGTTGGATTTCTACACTGAGATTACAGGTGTGCTCTGTCATGTCATGTTCTGAGACAGATTTTAAAGCATGCCCTCTTTTCTTCTGGTCTCCGAGACTCAGTTTCCAGAAAATGAACGTGAAGTTCCTAGGACCAGGACGTAGGTCCATTGAACTGGGAGCGATACTGAAAACGTCTTCCTTTTGGGGGGCAGGGGGGATGTCTCCCTTTAAGATGGAGGGGAGTCTGAGACGTGAAGTTAGAAGGGTCGCGGTGTAGGTGCTTGTTCTCTGCCCTTCTCTGCCTGGTTTGTGTAATAGCCACGAACCAGTCACGGCGCTCTTTCTCGGAACCAGAGCTGTGTGAAGTCTGCCTTCATCTGTTGTAGTTTTCTTCATAACACTACAGACGGACCAGTTTAGTTTATTCACAAAAGAACAGGGACTTAAAAACCTCCCAAGGAACCTTAGCTATTGTCCTGGAAACACTGTTACATCAAGGACACAGTGTTGTCCTGAGGATGTAGCTCAGTTAGTTGGTAGACTGTTTGCCTAGCCTGGGGAAAGCCTTGGGTTCTGTCCCGAGCATGCCATAAAACCTGTGTGGGGCACATGCCTGCAACCTCAGCACTCAGAAGGTAAGAGTAGGAGGATCAAGAGTTTATCCTACTGGGCAGTGGTTGGACTCAGGAGGCAGAGGGAGGTGGATCTCTGTGTGTTCAAGGCTAGCCTAGCATGTAGAATGAATTCCAGGGCGGCCGGGGCTACACAGAGAAACCCTATCTCGAAAAACAAAACACACAAAAATAAATAAATAAACCCAAAAGCAAGCAAACAAAAAGTTTATACTAAACCACACATTGAGCTCAAGGCCAGACTGGTATATGGTATATGTTTGTAAGGGCCTGTTCCTTACTGTCCCTCCCAAAGAGGACAAGCCACCGGACTCCAGATCCCCAGACAAACCAGAAGCAGGAAATTGAGGCCTGTCACTTATCACTCAAGACAACCTTGAGAAACCGGGGAAAATACTGTATGCTCCCTAGGAGAGGGTGATGTTATGGTCTCTCCTCCCCACAGCAATGTATTGATACAAATACTTGGCTGAACAGTGAATAGCCCAATGCCTGCTGCACCTCAGGAAACCAGGAAAACTAACTAGGGAGACCAGTTTCAAAGAGGAGGCTGTCACATCTGTAATCCCAGCAATCCCCAAACAATGAGGCAGAAGGATCCCCAGGATTAGGAATTTAAGGCCAACCTGTTCTGAAAAATGAAAAAGCAGCATGCCACTAAGGAGCCTCTCCTCCCCAACTCCTTACAGGCTCCAGCATTCGCCAAACAGCTAACAATCGTATCACAATAGGCTTGAACTTTGCACTGCTCAAAAGAATTGCTTGGGGTTGGTGGTGATTCGGCTTACCACGAAAAGGCACTTGTAGCCAAGTCTGAAGGAAAGAGGCGTTCAATCCCCAGAAGCCACATTGTAGATGGAGAGAACCGAGCCCTGCAAGTTGTCCTCTGCCTTCCATGTGCTCATCGGGCATACATAAGCCCTCTCCTCTTATACATAAAATAAATAAAAACATAAAATTAAATAATTAAAAAAGAGAGAGACTTGCTTGAAGGATTGGAAAGGTACAGTGCAGTCAGAGAAGGAAATTAGAATGTTAATAAATTACTATTATTATTCAGGCATCTGTACTGGCCTGTCCTTGGGGTTCTAACAGGATATGCTCTCAGATGCAGCCACTAAGAGCACCACCTGTGCACATTTGCTATGTTCCCTTTTAAAGGGGCCCTGCCCACCTCCTCTCTTTCTCTCTGCCTGTCTCTCTGTGGCTTGTCCCCGTCCGTCGTCCCCCCCTTCTCTTCTGCCAATCTTATCCCCAGAGGCCGTTCTCCCTTCTCTCTTCCTCCCTTTTCCATTCACTTTCCCCCAATAAAAACCCCTCCACCCAAGCTCTGTTGCATGGTATCTTTCTCTGGTTTTTAAAATGACAACACTAACAACTAATAATTCATTGCCCCAAAGATTCTACTGTAGTCAATTCCTGAGAAACCTACAAAGACAGGAATAGTGCTCCCTGCTCAAGGATACTCACTGCTTTGCTGTCTCAAGAGAATTGCAGCACCATGGCACCAGCCCTATAACGCTAGTAGGATTCTTTGGGAGCTAACAAAGACAGACTGCAGGTTTGAAGCCTGTTTAGGTCATACACTGAGTTCAAGGTTGGTCAGAGCAATTGAGGAAGATCCCATCTCAAATTTTAAATTTTAGGGGGAAAATACATAAATTAAAAAAAAAAGTTTATGCTTGGGCATGCCTTTAATCTCAGCACTCGGGAAGCAGAGTGAGGCAGATCTCTGTGAGCTCAAGGCCAGTCTGGTCTACAAAGTAAGTTCCAGGACAGGCTGCAAAGCCACAGAGAAACCCTGTCTCAAAAACAAGAAAAAAAAGTTTGTTTTTGATGGGATTCCCTATGTAGCCCAGGATGGCCTTGAACTCAAGAGATCCACTCTTCCAAGTGCTATGACTAAGGCATGTACCACCATACCTGGCCCCAAATTTAAACATTGTTAAAGGGTCAAGCCTGATGGTTTACACCTGCAATGTCAAGCCCCCAGGAAGCAGAGGCAGAAAGATGACTGCAGGTGGGAGGCTGATTTTGACCACACAGTGAGTTCCAGGCCAGTCTGGCCCGGCTGGGTAAACAAAGGCTGGAGGTGTAACTCAGTGGGAGAATGCTTGTCTAGCTTGTGCAAAGACCTAGATCCAACCCCAGTACCACCTAAGGGAGAGGGAGAAAACCTGTATGACCAATAAGTATCGACTCTGAGAAGGTTAAAAGGACAAGAAGAGAACAAGGATGGCGACTTTTGTTTTTGTTTTTGTTTTTTGAGGCAGAGCCTCATGTCTGGCCTCAAACACACCATGTAGCCAAAGTTTGAAATTTAGCTATGAACTCCTGACTCTTGCCTCAGCATCTCCAATCCCCAGTGCTGGGATTTCGGTTGTGAGCCACCACCCCAGGTTCTGAGTGGATGTGTTTGTTTTTGAGACAAGGTCTGTCACTATGTAGTTCTGCCTGGCCTGGAACTCTTGAACCAGGCTGGCCTCAAACTCAGAGATTGGAATGATGAGATTAAAGGCATGTACCACTATGAGTGGCTATGAATATGTTTTTTAAACAGAAGTTTAAATAGGGCTGTGGGTGTAGCTCACAGTGCAGAATTTAGTGTGTTGAAGGCCCTGGGTTCACTCTCAACAGAAACAGAGGAAAAAAGGAAAAAGAAAAATTTATGTCTATACTTTTGTGTAGAGGTCCATCTCACAGGCTTAGTTCCTACCTCTCTGCCCCAAGGCTTGCTGAGGAGAGGTCAAGGCCAAGAATGCTTTGCACACAGTAGGGGAAACAGAAATGACATGGGACAATTAGAACTGAAGTGTGTGAGCATGTGTAGGCACAGGTGTGTGCAGGATCGCTGCATGTGGAGGTCAGAGGACAACTTGTAGGGGTTGCTCTTTCCTTCCACCATGGTCTCCATCTAGCATGGCTTCTGGAGATTAAACGCGGTTTCTCAGGATTGCATGGTAGGTGCTCCTACTGCTGCATTTCTCCAGCCCTGAAAGGCCTTCACACCTGTTAGGTCTGGGCTTGTCATTATTCTCCCAGCAGGACCACAAAATCAACATCTTATTAGATGCCCTAGAAACAACAGGTGGAGCTCTCTTT